GATTTCGTGGCAGGTGCAACACTTTGTAGACCTTGAAGTGCAGATTTCGTGGCAGGCGCAGTATTTGTGGACTTTCCCAGCTTGCGAATCCCCATCCACCGCCATCACCACATCACCACCCACCACCATCACCACCAGTCACCACCATCGCGACCATCACCACCACCATCACCACGATCTCCACCTTCATCACCACCATCACGTCTCTGGACCCCAACGCGTCTAAATCTCTAGACTTTACACCTCTGTTTGGGGTTAAAGTTTTGTCTACGGCAATAAAGGGTTCCTATGATCCCCTCACTTGGTGCAACCGAAAGCTATACATCCTTGAACGTTATGGGCTTATCCTGGAAGTGAGATAAACCCACATAGCCAAACATGCAGGCGCTGGAACCCAAACACACGTGGAATTGTTTGCGTCCTAAGTTGGGAACAGCTAGCCTCTGAATTGTCAGATGTTGTGAAAACTGCAGTCATGAAGTGCTTTCCATGTCAATGCTGGTGTTACCCATGATGCAATTTTCGTGATGCAATTTTGCGGAGGCAGTTGAAACCAACCAGTTTTTCCTTTGGTTGTTTTCTCTTGTTGGCTCTTGTGTGAAGTTGTTGCGATTTAGAAGCGGTTTTGACAGGGGGCTCTCCGGATTTTTTTCGATACAGTTATGTATGGCCGAGGAGACAACTAAAAGCATTTGAAGGTGGCATGGGAACCGCCAACATGTGCATGTTGTTCTCCAAGGTTCTTACGGTGGTGGTAAGGCAGGGTTCGTGGCCATGTTGTTGAGGCGCCGTGTGCATTTTCGAGTTTAGTGCTCACTTGTTGTGGCACGGGCAAGGAACCCTCGTATTTTGGTGGTCTCAAGTTGACTGGTTGTGCAGATTTGGTGGACGCAGTGTGGACCTGGCGGTGGTCTTTGGCGTGCTCAGATTGCGTCGCAGGTGCGGTGAATCCTGAATTTGGACTTCCAGCCATCCTTGGATTTTATCGTTTTGTTATTGTAATATATATATATATATCTTGGACATTTTCTTTGGAGGTGCTTTGGTTGCGACATGCGCTGATTTCATAGCAGCACTTTGTGAGACCTGAAATGCAGCTTTCGTGAACGGGGCAGCTCTTTGAAGTTCTCGCACGCGTGTGTTCTCGTATTGTGCTCTCGTATTGTGCTCTCGTATGTGTGCTGTCCTATGGGTGCTCCAATGTGCGTGCCTTGTATGTCTGCTGCTCTCTCATGTGTGCTCTCAATCCTGTGTTTTCGTGTTTGCGCGTGTGTATTTGTGGCTTCACGCGTGTTCTCGTCTCTGTATGTGCTGTCTAGTTGGGCTTTTTGCTGGGACGCCTGAGTTTCTTCAGATTGTTGTTGTTGTTTTGTAGCGGTGCTTTCACTGGCACCTACACTCAACGCCACCAATCAAGATGCCGCTGCCAGAAGGCAAGACAGTTGAAGGGGCCGCAGTGCCACTAGACATAGAGGCTGCCACAGATGGGGTGGTTCGACCTGTCATAGATTGGTCGTGAGGAGAAGCAACTTGAGACAGTCCGAAGGCTTGTGCCATTTGGAATTCATGCGTTTGCAGGAGCGGTGAATGCAAATTCCAAACACCTTGTGTCCGCGTTGTATGGCAGGTTTACTCACGGGAAAACACTTGGTTTGGAGTGGAGTTTGTGAGATGCTATCGAATGGTGCTATATTTGTTCCGGCAAAGCCGACTAAAACAAAAAGGTTGGAATATGGAATCGTTCGGCTTTGAACCCAGCTTAGATTTGCAGGTCTGTATCCCTTGGCTTGTAGATTGTATGTAGACTTTGTGATTCGTTTCGTGGCCTTGTCAAACCTTGTTGAAACATGTTGTTGCGCAAGGAATTATGTGACAACACAAGTATGTTTTTGTCATCCCATCACAAGGCACCCACTCGTTTTCACTACCCTGTAGTGGAAACGATTTTGCAAAAGACTTCGACACTTGTGGAAGTAGGACGAAGCAGTTCAAGCATTCAAGCACTCGCAAACCAAGCTGTTGAACAAGCGTGCAACATTCTGGCAGAGCGGCGTTGGCATCAGTTTGCAATGCCGGATGCCGAATGCCGCAGGAAAGAGTCCGACTGATTGTTAGAGCAACATAGGTCTACGAGTCTACGAGGGTCAAGTCTCCTTGTGGTATTTTCCAGGAGTGTTCTGAACAAGTTCTCCTCTATCAACATCCACGTGCCAGGTTGTCGACAGGCTAAATGCCACACTGGTGGCTCTGTGGCCAACAAGACTGCACACTAAACTCCACACTTTTTGTTTGTCCTCATAGTGGGCGTCAGAAGTATATATATATATCAGCACAGAATGTGAAGCTGGCTCAAACCGAGAATTGAAGCTGCTCAAATCGATAACAAGGGTCAACATACAGCCTGCTTTGGACTTACGCCTGCACTGTTCACCTGGGAGCTGGCAGGCAACATCAAATTTAATGCATGCATGCTGACAGTCCCGTATTTTGCACGCACGCACCAACAAAGAGGGACACACACACACACATGCGCGCACGCACACAAGCACTCAATCACACAAGCGCACAAGCGCGCCCTATTCTTGAAGGGTTGAACAGACTTGGTGCAGCGCAGCCTTTGAAAGGCCAGCGTCCAAGACTCTCGTGTTTTATTGGTTGCCTGTTGTGGTTGTGGGTGTGGGATGACTCAACAGCAGCCCGGTTTCTGTCCTAGGTGAAGATGTCAATCACTTTTTGGAGGTTTTGGCCCAAGAGCGGGGTGCGGATTGTGGGAGAAATGCATTTTGAGGCCTTGCAGCTTTGTCCAGCAAAAGGCGAGCCCCTCAAAGCTTGCCAT